ATTTATTTATTTATTATGTATACAGTGTTTTGCCTGCATGTATGCTTGTATACCAGAAGAGGGCACCAGATCTCATTACAGATGGTTGTGAGCCACCATGTGGTTGCTGGAAATTGAACTCTGGAGGAGCGGCCAGTGCTCTTAACCTCTGAGCCACCCCTCCAGCCCCCCAACTTACTACTTCTAAAGGATCTGTCAGTTATTTTGTTGATTGCCTCACTGGGTTCCCCTGACATTTCCTCCTGGTTAAATTGAGGTCTGACCAGGCGGTGGTGGTATAGGCCTTTAATCCTAGCACTCGGGAGGCAGATGGGGGGATCTCTATGAGTTCAAAGCCAGCTTGGTTTACAGAGCAAGTTCCAGGACAGCTAAGGCTACACAGAGAAACCCTGTCTTGAAGAAAAAAATTGAGGTTCTGTGTTTTTGTGAGGAGTTCCACAGTAGGTTGTGATCTCTTTGGTGTCCCTTCAGGAGTCTTGTGGTGTCTGTATGTCCTGTCACTGGCTGTGGTCACTTTGATCCTGTGTTGTGGTTCAGGCTAGTTTTCATTATATTCCTTTGTAATTGTTTTGTGGGAACATACTTGGAGACTCATATTCTCTTTACCTTTGAATGTGGTTAGCATTCAGAGATGACCCTTGCTGGAAACTGTTATGTAGATATTGTAAAATGCTGGGTTTTAACATTTTCTGTTGTTGTTCTATCCCTGGTGGTGGTTGTCACTGTGCTATAAGAAAGAACTTTCACTTCTGTTGACTGGTTTTTCTCAGAAATTGACTCATTTATGTGGCTTTGGGACTCCTACTTCAATCTGTGGATTGGATTGTGCCTGTGATCCCGTGCCTTCCATTAAGAGCCCTTCATCCTCCTGGACTGACACGTTGCCTCCAAAACTCCAGGTGCTCCAGCTTTAGAACCAGCTGTTTCTGTAATAGCCCCGTGGCTTATTTCAAAATGTAAAATCTTGGTGATTTTCTTAATTTTGCTTTTGTTTTTGTTTTTTCAAGACAGTTTCTCCATGTAACAGCCTTGGCTATCCTGGAACTCTACCCTGTAGACTAGGCTGGAACTCAAGTGCTTGGATTAAAGGCCGTGTGCCACCGCCACCACCACTGCTCGGGATTTAGTTAAATTTTTTAAAGTTGCATTGTACTTATGTGGCCTTTCTAGGTTGATGTGTGTGCTTTGAAATGAGGTTACCACAAGGCATGTGAGAGCTAGAGAGATTGCTTAGCAGTTAAGAGCACTGGCTGCTCTTCCAGAGGAGCTGTGTTCAATTCGGCAGCTTGCAACTGTCTGTAACTGCAGTTCCAGGGATCTGGCACTCTCTTCTGGCCTCAATAAGCATGTGGTGCACAGACTTACATGCAGGCACATAAAATAAGAATTTTTTTCCAAAACAGGGTTTCTCTGTAGCTTTGTGCTTTTGTTTGTTTTTAGTTCTAAGTGCTCATGTATGCCTATATGCCAGGAGAGGGCATGAGAGCCCTTTATAAATGGTCATCATGTGGGTGCTGGGAATAGAACTCAGGATCTCTGGAAAAGCAGCCAGCACTCTTAACCACTGAGCCATCTCTAGACCCCAGCCCCTCTCTGTAGCTTTGGGGGCTGTCCTGACACTAGCTCTGCCAAGCTGGCCTCGAACTCATGGAGATGTGCTTGTCTCTGCCTTTCCGAGTGTTGGGATTAAAGGTGAGTGCCGCTACCACCTGGCCTTAAAAACAAATCTTAAAATAAAAAGTAACAACAAGGGTCTGGAGAGATGGCTCAGAGGTGGGAGCACTGGCCACTCTTCTGGAGGTCCTGAGTTCAATTCCCATCTGCCACATGGTGGCTCACAAACATCTTTAATGAGATCTGGTGCCCTCTTCTGGTGTGCAGGCATGCAAGCATGCATGCATAACTGTATATATAGTAGATAAATCTTGAAAAACTAAATAAAAGGTCACAAGGCGTGTGAGAGCCCCTCTGGTGGCACATGGGCCAGGAATGGGCACTTGTCATCATCATTCTCCTTGATGGAAAACCCTGAAAAGCCCTTGTCTTGTTTGGGCATGACTGAGAGGTTGGGGACTTGAGATGGGGGCTTTTAGTTTAGATGAGCAGTGAGGCCAGGCTACCCATGACTCTATGTCCCTGCTGGCTCTGGAAAGCTTATGGAAGCTTAGAACTGCTCCTATGACCTGACTGGTTCTAATTTAGTCTCCTCCATTTGAAAGAAAAACAGACAGGCTGGCCCTGCTCTGGCTGCTGTTCTTCCCTGGTATAAGTTGGAGCTGGTGGTCACCCTGCTGGTGCTGAGTATACCAAGTGCTGTGCCTTTGGGCATGTGGATGGAGTTTCAGAATAGTATGTAAGTGGTGTGGTACATATCCCTGGCTGAGAACAGCACCCTTGTGTTGATGGCAATTTTTATTGAAATGAGCTCACAAGTATGCATGGGCTGGGCAACCTGCTCTCTGCATCTGCTAATGCAAACTCATGCCAGGCTCCAAGCTAGCCAATGTGTGCTCAGTGTGGTGTTAGTGACGTGGCTCTGTTCCCCATGCTTGCTACATGCCGGTCTTGCCCTGTTCAATTACATGCTCAAAGTCACAGAGGAAGTGTTTGCTGATTTTCAAGAATGAAGAGTGTTTGATCTTGTTTGAGATCTTTCTAGTATCTGTAGAAATGTTCATATGATTTTTCTCCTTCATTCTGTTCCCTTCTGTTGACAGAGTCCTAGGTTTGGGTGCATCTTGTTTGCCAGCATGAGCCTACCTGGCTGTGATGGTACTTCCAGCAGGTGTGGATCTTGTGTCTCATACCTCTGCTCTTGGGGCAAACACTCCCAAGGATTGCTCTCCTTTGGAGTGCCCTACTGGGTAGAAGGAGGTGGCCTGTGCCCCAGGGTGATTTGTCGGTTGTGGATATGAATTACAGAGGCCTTGAGGTGGTTCTGTTGGGCTAACTCAACTTCTAGGAGCTTTTCTGTATTTTTTCTTCATTCCCTTTTTGAGTAACATGCTTGTTCTGATCCGTTGCTGGATAACACCTTGTCAAGGGTACCAAGGGCAAGACTCACTACCTTCATGCTTCTTTTTTTTATGCAGTGCTGTGTTTTTGTTTTTGTTTTTTTTAATTAAATTTTAAAATTTATTTTACACACCAACCATAGTTTCCCCTCCCTTCTCTCCTCCCATTCCCTTTCCCCACCTCCTTTCTATCCCTCCATCCACTCCTCAGAAAGGGTGAGGCCTCCCATGGGAGTCAACAAAGCATGGCATATCAATTTGAGGCAAGACCAAGGCCCTCCCCTCTGCATCATGGCTGAGTGAGGTATCTTCCCCATAGGGAATAGGTTCCAAAAAGCCAATACATTCACTAGGGACAGATTCTGGTCCCACTGCTAAGGGCCCCACAAACAGACTAAGCTACACCATTGTCACCCACATGCAGAGGGTCTAGGCTGGTCCCATGCAGGCTCCCTAGCTTTAGGTTTGTTTCTTTCTCCATTGCTGGTTGTGTAGCTAGGTGGCTGACCCCTGGAGTCCTCATCTCCTTCTTTTCTTGTTCCTTGATCCTCCTTCCAGATTTCTCCTATTTATCCTCTCTGTCTGCCAGTCCTACCTGTCCTTTCTCCTGCCTTGCTACTGGCTGTTCAGCTCTTTATTAGATCAGTTAGGTGTTTTAGACAGGCCAAGTAACACAGCTTCACAGAATTAAACAAATGCAACATAAAAGAATTCAACATGGCCAGACGGTGGTGGTGAACGCCTTTGATCCCAGCACTCAGGAGGCAGAGACAGGCAGATCTCCGAGTTCGAGGCCAAACTGGTCTACTGATCAAGTTCCAGGACAGCCTCCAAAGGTACAGAGAAACCCTGTCTTGAAAAGCAAAACAACAACAACAACAAAAAGAATGTAACGCATCTTTGCATCATTAAAACAAATGTTCCACAGCATAAACAAATGTAACACATCTTAAAGCAGTATTCCACAACGGTGCTGCGAATCCAGGTCTTTTTGCACTCTAAGCAAGTGTTTACCACTGAACTCTACTCCCAGCCCTTCTTGTTGATCATCCCTGTTTGCCATGTTTTCACACCCTGTTTTGGATACTTTTGCTTTCTAAGCTGGTAGCCCTTGGCGGAGGCACCTGCTCATAGTCAGGTGTGGGACACTGAGAATCAGAGCCGAATGTGGGCACTGAAGTGGCAGCTGCCACTTGCCCCTGAGATCGAAAGCTAAGAGCCCGTGACCTCCCTTTTCATAATTACCAGAGTTGACCTGGTCCCTTGCCTCAGGTTGGACCTGGTCTAGAGCTCTGTGCTTGCCTCTGGAACCCCACCCTTCATCTTTTGTAAAGAACCCCAGCTTCAAGGGCAGGAGTTGGAGCACAGCTGTAGGGGCTAGCAGGTCTCTGGTACGGGGTTCAGTTACCACTGGTGTTCTCACTGGATGTGCTGCTGCTGTCTCTTCTCATGCATTCAGTGTCCTTTGAGGACAAAGGCTGCCATGCGTGTTTGTGCTGCTTCAGGGGAGGCCTGGGAGGCTGGTTCTAATAAGCACCTCATCCTTTGGTCTTCATCTAGACCAGTGGTTCTCAACCTTCCTGATGTTGTCACCCTTTAGTGCAGTTTGTCATGTTGTGCTGACCCCAACCATATCATTATTTTCATTGCTACTTCATAAATGTAATTTAGCTACTGTTACAAATAATAATGTAAATATCTGTGTTTTCCAGTGATCTTAGCAACCCTATGAAATGATCATTTGACACCCCCCAGGGGTTATGACCCACAGGTTGAGAACCACTAGATATTGTAGCTGTTAACTAGAAGGTTACTAGAGGTTTTAAGCTATTTCTAGAAGTTCCTGATAGTTTTGGAATCAGGAAGGTATTTGTCAGAGGGATGTTAGAAACATTTTGTGTATACAGGATGTTGTATGTTCAGAAATATGAACTGAAACATTCATATTTCTTCAGAAATATGAACTGTGGCAATCTCTCTTTACAGAGACACAGCCCTGAAGAGTCCATGGAAATGGGTCAGCATCGTTAAGTCAGAGCTCAGAGCTATAACCCTGAGTTTTAGCTCAGACCTGATGGCTTGAGCCTGCTGATGTCCAGTGTTCTGGAAATCCAGTGCCCATAGATGTGGACCAAGGAAGAGCCCCGACCATGGTCACTCTTATCACAGAGAAGCTGCAGAACCAGAGTTTGGATGATCTTACCCGAAGGGCCCATGAGACTGGCCTGGTGAGTCAGCTTGGGGGTCAGAGGTGGGCACAGCCCACTGTGTGTGGAGACGTAGACATGGAGACAGCACACTGTAGGGTGGAGGCAGAGCTGAGTGGGGTTGTTGGACAGAAGCCAGTGTCTGTCATAATCATCACCACAAAACAAACCAACTTCTAATGCAAAGCTGACCTACATAGAATTCTGTGACCTGCTTACCAGATCTGACAGGGTAAGTGGTCCTGTGGTCCTGCTACTCCTTTCCAGGGATGTCTCAGATTTATCAACACAGATTCACAGATTCACAGCTTTAGCTTGGTGGGTGGGTCTTTTTTGTTTTTTAAAACCATGAAGCCATTTATTTTAAATCATATTGAATTTATTAGTTTTTTTCTTTTTTTGAGACAGGGATTCACTGTGCACCCATAACTGGCCTGGAACTAGTTGTGTAGACCAAGCTGTTTTTGAACTCACAGAGATCCGCCTGCCTCTGCCTCCTGAGTGCTGGGATTACAGGTGTGTGCCATCATACCCAGTGGTTATTTATTTATTTATTTATTTATTTATTTTTGGTGTTTTTGTTTTTGTTTTTTTTTTGGTTTTTCGAGACAGGGTTTCTCTGTGGCTTTGGAGGCTGTCCTGGAACTCGCTTGGTAGTCCAGGTTGGTCTTGAACTCACAGAGATCCGCCTGCCTCTGCCTCCCGAGTGCTGGGATTAAAGGTGTGCGCCACCAGCGCCCGGCAGTTATTTATTTTTAATATTTTATGTTTGTAATTTATTTATTTATTTAGGTTTTTTGAGACAGGGTTTCTCTGTGGCTTTGGAGGCTGTCCTGGAACTCACTTGGTAGTCCAGGCTGGTCTCGAACTCACAGAGATCCGCCTGCCTCTGCCTCCCAAGTGCTGGGATTAAAGGTGTGCGCTACCAACGCCCGGCATGTTTGTAATTTATTACTTACCACATAACTCTGGATGCACTTTAGTGTTGTGTCTTTGATTTCACTGCCATGAAACTTGAAGCTAACACAGATACCTCTGAATACAGCTAGGGATTCCAGAAACACAAAGTAAAGGAATACACAAACACCTCTTGCATTCTTTTCTTAAGGTTCTGTATGATGATGATATCCATGTTGGTTAATGTTCATGCCCAGACTATAGGCAGAAGTCTTTCTAAACTTGGATGCCTAACGGACGTTTTTCTTCCCAATGAACTTGTCATAAAATTTACATGTGGAAAAGTAGATTCACCTAGTCAAGGCATCCTAAACATAATTTTCTTTTCTTTCTTCTTTTGGTTTCTCTGTGTAGCCTTGCCTTTCCTAGGACTAACTCTGTAGACCAGGCTGGTTCTTGAACTCACAGAGATCCACCAGCCTCTGCATCCCAAGTGCTGGGATTAAAAGCATGTGCCACCACCACCTATCAGTAGTTTTCAAATAACAAAACTATAAATATCAGTTTTAAAAGTACAACTTCAAATAATTAATTTTTGATAAAACTAAAATCAGTATACATTTAGTGCCTCCATTGCTATCCTCTAGTCCTCTCCTGATTCAGCAGGGCTGGCTCCTCCTGTCCTTGCTATCTGTGTTTACTTTTTTTGGTCGTATGGGCTCCTCTTTTCCCAACTTATATACCCTGTACCTGAGCTACACCCAGTTTTGTTACTTTGCCTTTTCACACTTGGAGGGTAGTGAATAGAACAGCTGTTACAGAAAGACCTGAAAGATGAGTGATTGTATCCGACTCATTGCTGCCTCAAGAGAGGAGAGGCACAGATGGTTTTAACCATAGGTGATGGATTGGTGAAGGCAGTGGACTGCCAGAGCAACAGTGAGGATCTGGAGTATGATTTGGGGTCTACATTGAAGATAGGAAAGGTTTTTGTTGGCAGGGAAAATGAGGGATTTGGGGTCGACAAGGATGGAACAATTGACAGGTAGTTGGGCCCAGCTGTCACGTGTATTTGGGCTTAGAGTATTCTCAGACAACACGGGACACTGGGATTTGAATTTTACATGTGCATTTCAGTTGTGCATTGAGACTTCTAATACAGAGCTGGGAAAGTGTTTATCTCTAGAGAGGCATGGAGATAAGGAGCCAGTGTAGCTGGAGGAAGTGGGCAATGACTTGGGCAGGAAGTGCTTTCCTGGCTTAGGGCTTGGTGGCAGTGAAGATCATATACTGTGCTGGATGTTTTTTTGTCAACTTGACACAAGCCTACACATCTAATTGAGAAAATAAGGTTATAGGCATTTCATGATGGTGAGGGCTCAATAGGGATAGCACCACCCTGGGCTGTTGGTCCTGGATAGTATAAGAAAGAAAACTGAACAAGCTGCATAGCAAGCTGGTAAGCAGCATTCCTCCATGGCTTCTGTCTTAGTTTCTAACTTCTGGTTCATACCTTGATTGAATTCTTGCTTTGGCTTCTGTCCATGAACTATGACTAGGGATATGTAAGCCAATTAAACTTTCCTTCCAAGTTGCTTTTAATCATGGTGTTCTATCGCAGTAATAGAAAGCCAACTAAGATTTGACTCTTAGGTGCCAAGGGCCTGAAGCCAAAGGACTATGATTCAGATCAGGGTAGCAGTCCCCTATAGCTGTGGGAAGAGGATAGTGAGACCAATGGAAGCAGAGAGAAAGGCCAGCCAAGACCACCAACATTAGATTGCTCCAGGATAGATGAAGTAGAGCTAGAGTAAAACTCTATGAGCTAGATGTCAGGGGAAGAGGAAAGTGTGATGTGGCTGAGTTGGAAGCAAGAAGCTTGGAAGGCTCATCATGACACTGGTTTAGATAGATGTAACATGGGCGGTTGGTGCCCTATGTGTGTTCTCTAGTCATATCCATCTGGACAGGGCCAGGCTTGGATTGGCTCGGCGGGAGCTTGCAGTCTTAGCAGATCTACTTTCTTGAGTATCTCCCAAGGAGGCTCAGAAGCTGCCATGTCTCAAGGCCCTGGGATGTGGTATGGTACAGAAGCTGATCACTACAAATGGATGTAATCAGTACTCTGCTCTTTTGTATTAGATCTACTGTCCTGAGTGCCTGTACCCATGTCCTTGAGCTGTCCATCTGCTCAGCCCATCTCTCACACAGCCAGCGCCTTGTAGATGTCTGGCTATGCTGCTCCAGTCCTTGATATACATCTTGTTAGGTACAGGCCCACAGCTCCTCAGCTATCCCAGGAACCATTTCTGTTGACTAAGAAAGGCCTGTCCTTCCTGAAGTCTGTTGGGTTATTGTGGTGGGTGTATTCTTACGCACACTGGGAATGCAGGCCCAAGGAAGGTGGGCTGTGAAAACAGGAAGTACTTGCTCTGGGGAAGTGATTGGATCTCAGCAGGACTGTTGGCTAGGAGAGTAGCTATCAGTTATGTGGAAGGGGAAAGCATTTTGCTGGCTCAAGACTAGGGGCATTTAGAGCTAGCTATTTGAAAGGTGTGGGTGGCCAACTAATTATGCACAGTGGCATAAGAACTTCCACCACATGTAAAACTGTAAAGCAGTTTTCTCTCTTTCCATCTTTGCCTGAGGTTTTTCAGTGCTCACAGAGCCCAGGGTGGTCTTATGGTCTTATGTTCACTGCACCCATCCAGCTGTGCCGGGAGAAGCATAATCCACTGCAGAGGAAGACCTGTCTATAGAAAGCTACCTGTCGTTAAAGGGTACCTTTCCTGAGTCATAAACCTGACTTTTAACTTCTTTTATTTTTACATTTATTTATTTATTTATTTGCTTGATTATTGAGAATGGAGTTTTACCTAGCCCACCTGGCCTTGAACTTGCTATGTAGCCAAACTCTCTGTGAAACCTCAAGTGCTGGATTATAGGAATGTGCCACTATACTTGTCTTGCTTATTGATTGGTTGGTTGATTGATTGAAAAGGGGCTTGCTAAGTAACGCAAACTGGTCTGGAACTTGGAGTATTCTTCTTGCCTTGACCTCCCTGATTATTAGTGTGTACCAAACACCTGGCTTTCTCTTTATGTGAAACAGCAGTAGTTCCCCAAGACTTCTGGTGCAGTTGCCATGGCATTTCCTGCTAATTTCTGAGACTGCCAGTAGTTTATCTGCCTTCTTGGAGGGGGGTTATCCTGCTGTCTGGACCCTTTTCAGGTCTGGGGCCATCAGGCTAGGGTTTGGATTCTATATTTGGACTGTCATTAGCAGTAAAGGGGTCTTAGGTATTGGCTTAGTCTTTTTTCTTCCTCGTGTGTATGGGTGTTTTGCCAGCATGCATGTCTGTGCACCACTTTTGTACAATGCCTGTGGAACCAGAGGTCGTTGGATCCTTTGGAACAGGAGTTATAGACAGTTATGGGCTGCCATATGGATGCTGGGAATTGAACCCAGGTCCTCTGGAAGAGCAGGCAGTGTTCTTAACCACTGAGCCATCTCTCCAGACTCTGTCTTTTTAAAATTTTATTTATTTTTATTTTCTGTTTAGTAGTATTTAGCCTGGATATATGTACACCATGTGTGTACCTGGTGCTTGAGGATATCAGAAGAGAGCATCAGATCCCCTGGAATTGGAGTTACAGATGGTTGTGAGCTTCTGTGTGGGTCCTGGGAACTGAACTAAGGTCTTGAAAGAGCAGCCAGTGTTGAGCTAGCTGTCTCTTAACTGCTGAGCTATCTTTCCAGCCCCTCAGGGTCTTTCTGGAAAGTAGCTAGGTGGTGAGGTTTGAAAGACCATTAGCACAGACTGTCCAAAGGAAAAAGGTCAGAACTTCAGGAGCAAATATGAGGAAGCAAGTAGTGACTTGGGATGATCCTCATTTGTTCAGCTAGATTTTGTTAGGTGAAAAAAAAATATATATATATATATTGGGCTAGTGAAATGGCTCAGTGGGTTAAGGCATTTGTTGCCAAGCCGGACAACCTGAGTTTGATACTGGAACCCACAGGGTGGAAAGAGAGAACGGACTCCCATAAGTTGCTTCTCATTTTAACTGTAGTGCATACATAACCCACCCCTCTATACAGATTTTTAAAAAAATCAAACCTCAACTCTTCTGTTAAGAAAAAGATACTGTCTAGAGGTCAGTGTTTTTTGTTTTAAACACCAGGAGAGGTGTTAGGGAGAAATAGCATTATTGTAGTGGATCTTGAGTTTTCACATGAGCACTGAGACTTTTCTCTTGTCACTTTTAGTACTCTGCTGAGAAACTGAACAAAAGTGGCCATTTGTTCCCTTTGGAGATTGGCGGTAAGTGTCTCAGAAGCCCAGGTAGGGTCTTTCTAGGGCTGAAGTAGCTGATGATGGAGTAAGGTGATGTTGGGCCTTTGGCCAGGAGGGGGGGTTTGGAGCTGGACTGAGTCAGGTATTTAGAGCAAGGCCTTTGTGTGACCTGTATGTGTGACAGAAAGATCATGAGCCATCACCCTCCCTGCTCATGGTGTAGGAGTCAGAACTGGTCTCTAAGCAGGATGGACCAGGGCTAAGGCTCAGCAAAGCCTCTCTTTGCTGCTGCTGCTGAGGTGGGAGAGGCTAGGGACTTCTTTACCCTTTATGTGATACACAGACCCACTTTGTGGTTTTCTTCAGCTATCAGGGAAGGATAATCAGGTGGTATATGGTTCTGGCTGTCTTTCTGGTACATACTAGCCGAAGGAGTATTCCTGGACCTGCCTAGGCTTGCCCTCACTTCCTGACACATTGCTTTCTAGCAGTTACACTTAGTGGTCCCAAAGTGTGGGGCGCATTTCTTTTAAATCCAAGCAAAGACCCTGGGGTTGGAATCACCCTGTGTTGGTCTTGCCAGTTGGAACAGCTTATGTGGTAGAACCATGTCAGGTTCACCTTGCTGAGCATCAGATTACAAAAGTAGAGGTTTGACTAACTTTGTCCTGAACAGTTGGAAGTAGGACGTGAAGCCTCCATCCCGCATCTCACCTGGCCTGTGTCTTCACTCCCACTCGATGTTGGCTCCTCCAGTCCATCCTGCATGTGGGAGGGACCACATTAACTTCCTCAGTCCCTGCTCTGAGTTTCTGAGGCCTCTAATGGACTGCTTTCTTCCCTTTTCCCCTCAGACCCCTCTCTTGCCTCCTGCTGTCTCAGGTTACCCCAGGGCCCTTGGTGTATCTGTCCCTAGAGGTGACCCTGGCTGTTTCCTATTGGTCTCTATGGCCTCTGCTCCAGTGTCTCTTAGCTTGACAGTGGTTGGAAGAAGCAGGGAAAGGCTGAGTGACCTGTTGGATGCCCTCCCATTGAGAGAGTCAAGAGCATCCTCTGGTCAGGTTACGGGGTATTTGGGCCTCACAGCTGGGTTGACTCTATGTGAAGATACTCACATACCTGACTTTGCTCTTCTGTAAGTGAGGGCTGGAGCAGGTGCCTGCCTTTTGCAACCAACAAGAGGAGCTCATTGCAGGGTCTGGGTGCCAGTTTGTTTACTGAGTGCTTGAGCTGACCAGAGGAGAGCTGGACTAGTCTGGGCAGGTGTATGGAGAGCTGTCATGTGGGCATATCTCCTGAGGAGGTTATAGATTTGTATTAGCTCCTGGGGTACTGAGTCTTGTGAGCTAGTCTGGGCTCAGATGTCTTAAGGACTCCTAAATCTTCCTCAGGGGCTTGAAGGAAGAGACAGAAGAAGTACCCTTTATGTTGCACTTGTGATGTCTTAGGTACATGTGTAGCAAGATGACCAGACACCAATGGGCATTGCCAGCACCTTGCTTTAAGGCTGAAGAGGTGGAGGCTTGAGGATGTTGGGGGTCCCAGTCCAGCGTCCAGCAGGCAGATGTCCAGGCTAAGTTTTTGTTTTATTTGAGACAGGGTTTCACTGTATATCCCAGAAAAAAAGTGAAACTCAAATGCTGGTCAATCCTGCCTTTGCTCCACAAATACTGGGATCACAGAAATGAGCCACTACACCCAGCTTCAGCCAGAGCCTCTATCTGAAAGAAGATTTGAGACTAGCTGTTGACTTTGGTCATTAAGAAATGTGGCAGTTTCTAAGTAGCTTTGTCTGACTCCTGGCTGGCAAAAGTCCATCTACAGAGGCTAGCTAGGGACAGGGGTAAAACATTTTGATGACACAGTTTATTAGTGAAATGGGGTTAAGATTGGAATCAGGTTATTTTCAGGAGACAGCTCCTTCAGACCAGGGGAAGCCAGGCTTAGTGGTGTACAACTTTAAACCCAGAACTCAGGAGGCAGAGGCAGATGGATCTGTGACTTTGGGGCCAGCCTGGTCTACATAGTGAGTTCCAGGACAACCAGGGCTATGTAGAGACCCTGTCTCAAAAACAAAACATTTAAAACAAAAGCCAAAAAAGAACACCAAGTGAAGCCTGGTGATTCAGATGCCACTGACCACTGAAGATAGGGTGGTACCAATCATGTAGCAGTGGTGTTTGTTCAGATGTGTCCATGCACCTGGGGAGGGAGGCAGCAGTGTGTGTGGCTTCCTATTGTTCACCTGTTTCTTACCACACATTTGTCTTTCCTTAGTAGACAAAAGTCCCTGGAAGTCCTTACATGGAGCATGGCCCATTGGAAGCCAGGCGGCCTCAGGCCACTTCCCTTTGGGCCCACTTGGTGTGTCTCACACTGAAGGTCTCAAATGGCAGCTGGCATCTCCAGGGCCTATGGATGTGGGCAGCTTCTTGGACCTCCGTGAGAGCACAGGGCCACCCGCAGCACCACCGACCAAGCGACACTGCCGGTCCCTGTCAGAACCAGAGGAACTGGCTCGATGCCGCTCCCCTTGGCGCCCTAGTAGCTCCAAGGTGTGGACTCCCATCTCTAAGAGGAGATGCAACAGTGGTGGCAGTGCCACTCTGCAGTGCTGCAGTGGCCTTGGGAACCCTGCCCTGCAGGGAAGTCTAGGCCCAGGCCTACCCAGGAGTCCTGTGTCACCTGCTGGCCCTGCCTCCCCACTGACACCCCGGCCAGCTTCAGCCAGCAGTGGCTTTGTGGACGGCAGTGAAGGCAGTACAAGCTCAGGTCCACCTTGGCTTTCTGCAGGACGCTGCTCATTTTCCTCCAGGCGCCGACTGTCCCTCTCACAAGAGCACCTTGTAGATGCAAGCGCTTGCCTGCCTTCAGCCAGCAGCACCCCCACATCCACACCTGAGCTAGGCCGACACCATGGCCTCCTCCGGTGCCGCTCACAGCCTTGTGTATTGGATGGGAGGAGGGTCCGGCGCAAGCGGAGACGGGAGGAGGATGCCAGGTGGACACGCCCATCCTTGGACTTTCTGAAAATGACACGGGTGAGGCTACATTTTTGTTTGGGGGTTGCTTAGGAAGGCTATATTTTGCCTTGTGTTGGTCTTGGGGTAGGGTTGGTTATGGCCAGCAGTCTCTAAGCTTACTTGACTACTTTCTTCTGAGCTGAGATGCTGCGTAAGGCCAGCTTGTCAGGGAACATGGCATAGTTTGGTTGGTGGAAGGACAGCCTCTCCCAGGTGACCCCCAAAACTTCAGTCATAACCCACGGGCAGAGCCCCCACATGTGGAACCTGGACCCTGGGGTCTGAGGAAGCAAGGAGGGACTGGGTGTGGATTGCATTTGGTGCAGCCTCATCTTTTGGGACCCTAACTCCATTTTGGGGGTGGCAGTTATTTATAAAGTGAGAAGGCAAAGATTGTACCACTGAAGGCCCAGACCGTTGGCTTGTGATGGCTACAGGAGCCAGAGCTGCTGGCTTGCTCTATGCCTCATTCAGAGACCAACAGGTACCTTGCTGTGCTGTCACATCCTGGACATCCCTGGCACAGTCTGGGGGAGTTTGTTTGTTTTGTTTGTTTTGTTACAGGATTTCTCTGTGTAGCTCTGACTGTCCTGGAACTTGCTCTGTAGACCAGGCTGGCCTTGAACTCAGAGATCCACCAGCCTCCTGAGTTCTGGGATTAAAGGTGTGTACCACTCCCACCCATAGGAGCATTTGGCTTTGAGGGAGGGTTTTAACTGGTGTAGCAGACCACTGCCTGCTCTCATCTAGATCCCAGACAGGCGCCCACTGCTAGCAATGGGGAGAAGGAGAGGAGAACCGTGAGAATGGGCCCTCACTGTGGCTAGGAGAGCATGACTACTTGGATGTATCCGGGGCTTGGGTAGGGTTTTCTAGCCCGCTGTGGGAGATAGAGTGGATCCCAGCAGCTCTGCTCCTCTCTGTTGGTTGTTAGGGAGGAACAGAAGTAGTAGACCGCTGGTACTTTTCCCTCACCCTCAGCCAGGGCCTCACCAAGGAGCCTTGGCTGGTCTGGAACTTGGCAGGCCTTGGAGTCATAGAGATTTGCCTGCCTCTGCTTCCTGAATGCTGGGATTAAATACATGGCCCCTTGGTACTTCTTGCAGGAGGCAGGACTGGCGTTGACAATTCTGACACACCATTACCCATACCTGTCCCAGGGCTTCAGGCCTGATTTGCCTCCTGTAGGCACTGCTGTGAGTGCATGTCAAACTCTGGATGTTGTGGGTAGTGCCAGGGTTGTCCTGAAAGGAGCTGCTTTAGTGTGTCTGTTGACTCCATATTGGGACAGTGCAGATAGAACAGACCACCACTGTGTTTGGGAGAAGGCTGTCTGGTAGTCCCTGTCTGTGGGAGGTAGCCTAGCTCCTGCTAATGCCTATTTTACATCCTGCTGATGTGATTGTTGACTCTGTCTGACAGTTAGGCTTTGCAGGAGTCTCTTCTGTGGTTGAAAGCTCAGTCTCCCTGGTATGACTGTAGAGGGCTGATGGAAAGGAAGTGGTGGTGCATTTATGTGATGTTGGCTGTTGGAAAGTTCTGGATCCCCAGGCTTCCCCTTATAGCCAGTGTTTTGAGTGTAATATGTGGCATCACCGTGTGTATTGTAGGAGGACAGCAGCGTAGGATGAGGATGCCAGAAGAGGAGTCCTTGACTTGGTGCCTTTTGGGGAGGGGGATAGCTTACAACAGAGATGGACTGATAACTAGGGATAGTCCTGCTCTGGAGGTGCTGTCAACGTTCTGGGCTCCATAGGAGGCAGAGAAAAGTATCTGGCCAGGGTTGTGCTGCTGCTAGGACATTATAGATGGACTCACTGTGAAGGTAGGGTGTCCTATGGGCCCCACCTCATCTCTGCTCCATTGTCCCTACCCCAGTTGTCTGCTTCAGGATTCACAAGCCCTGTGTTCCTGGTGTGAACACTATTCTAGTCAGCTTCCACTTAGTCCCCGCATCCCATTATGGAATAGACTGGTGTTGGGAATCCTGTGTTTCTGGATATTTCTTTAGAGACGGTCAATCATCTGCCTGGAGAGTAGAGTCATTCCGAGGCCTGAAGCTCTGCATTTGGGCACAGGGTTTTACTCAGTCCCTCCATCCCCACTCTTTCTAAAGCCCTTATCCACTTTTGAAATTAACTCTTTCCTGAGTATAGACCTCTCTTCTTGAGCAAAGCTAGAGGCAGGCACTGCAGGTGTGGTAAGAGGGACTCCCTGTGACATACGTGGGACACGCATACTTGTGTGCTCTGGCCATCTTTTGTCATCTGCCGAGGCATACATGTTCAGTGTTCCTCAGGCCTCTGTAGCTTGGGGCAAGCTCATCTTTCCCCTCCCTGATATCTGAGGGAGACCCTCCTGGATGTGTACAAATGTCTGTTGGTATTTCTTGGCCATACTGGGGTCTTGGCCTGGCACAGACACACAAATAGCTAGGCTCTGAATTTTGCTTACTCTACCTGGCTCAGACTCTGGCTCTACCTTGGCCTGCAGAGTAGTTTTGCTGGCAGGAATTGAGCTTGTGAACACAGTTTTAGGTGTCTTTATCTGCCAGGTGGCTTCCTTAGCATGTGGTCAGTGCTGGTGGAGAGGCAAACCTTTGGATGCCTGTGGAAGCAGTCAATATAGTTGTAGGAGGGTGTTTTCCTAGAATTTCCCCTGGCTTCATCATAGCTAAGGAGGCTTGCAGTGTTAATTGGATACAGCAGAATATGCCAGTTTCACTCAACTTAGACGATTTCTGGCATGTATAGCATCCTGGTCTTTATTGTTTAACAGTTCTGTTGGTTTACTTACCTGGATACAGGCCATCATTGAGTATCAATAGGTGCTGGGTCCTCCCTTGGGGACAACCTTTGGGGATGGCGCCAGTTCAAGTCAGCCTAGATGTAGGCTGTGGCATCTGTCCTCTGGTGTTTGGTGTTCTCAGAGATGGTGGTTTTGTGTCAGGCTCTTTGTTGAGTGGCAGTTATTTCTCTGAATAGAGGAGTCCATTAGAGACTGCTGCTCCCTGTTGAGCTGACCCCAGAGGGCGATGGGGCCCAGCAGTGTTTTTCTCACACGTTAGACCAGTGTGTAAATCCCGAGGGCACACTTCTGACTACAAACCCAAGTATGTCTCTTGTCAAGACAGGAGATCTGGCTGCTGGTCTACTGCCCTGCACTTGGATGTTGCCACTGTCTAGCAGGGCCACAGAAAACAAGCTGACACAGGGTCCTCCGGCTGGTTCAGTGACATGGATAGTCAAATTCATCTTGATTCAAGTAAAAAATTATGTCCTTTCATTTTTGTGACCAGAACCTACCTGCTTTTATCTTTAAGGATTTGCTCTTTAGAATATTACTTCTCAAATTGGTTTACTGTTTTTCGAGACAGGGTCTTTCTGTTTACCCTCCCAGTTGGCTAGAAATTGAGATCCTCCTGCCCTCCACCTCCGTAGTACTAGGATGATAGCTGTGCTCATAGTCAAGTGCCACATGCCCAGCAGGGGCCACTTTTTATAGTTGGACAATGAAAACAAAAGATACTGCAGCTTGTCTTGTGGAGACAGCTAATTCCTATAAAGCATTGCTCTGAGAAAGAAGGTCTGTTCTCCCTTATGGCTTACATGTTTATGTCTGTTGTGATGAGACTGTTTCTAGGGATCTTCTAGTCAAAAGTAGATTTTTGCCAAGAGTGGTAGCACATGCAGGAAACCTTAGCATTCAGAATGTGGAAGCAGGAAGATCAGAAGTTCAAGACTGCGCTCAGCTATGTAGCAAGTTTAAGCCACCCTGGGTTACTTTGTTCCTCTCTGTGTCTGTCTCTATGTCTGTGTGGATCAGAAGTTCAAGACTGCGCTCAGCTATGTAGCAAGTTTAAGCCACCCTGAGTTACTTTGTTCCTCTCTGTGTCTGTCTCTATGTCTGTGCGTCTCTCTGTCTCATTCAAGGGGTGTTTTAGGAAGGCCTTTTCTGTTGCTTTGTAGCACTGATTAGCTCTGATGGCCAGTGTGTCTTGCATGGTCTGTGTCCTGGGGTGTGCTAGCATCTGTCAGAGGCTAGTTTAAAGGTGCCTGCTGGGGATTGTGGGGAGGACATAGTCAGCGTGTGTGAAAGGGACTGGGCACTCCTGGAAGGGGAACACAAGGTCAAACCAGGGAGGTGGCAGGGAAACAAAGCCTAGCCATGCCAGAGGCAGTTGATTTGGTACAGCCCTAACATGTGCATCTGAGGACACAGGTGACTTCTAAGGGACATGTGCAATAGTCTGAAACCCTCTGAGTAGGCAAGGACTGTTGGAACTGGGAGATAACTCTGGTTTGAGGCAGAGATGGTAGCTGAATTCACAGAGAACATATAGACAGCAGCACAGCCTTCCAGTTGGCCCTTATGGCTCAGTGCCCTGGGTGTGCCTTGGGTAGTACATCCTGGAGGCAGCCTAAGATGCTGGCAGGGCTCAGTGCATGCCTGGGAAAGGGTAGTCGGAGACCCATTCTGTGTGTATGTGTTGTCTTAGATGTTTTAGGATGATAAAGCTCTTCACGTCTTGTGTTTGAGGAAGGTCAGCCATTAGAAGATAGGGAGAGGAAGGTGAGAAGCAGGGTTGAGGCAGTTAGGATTTGAGAAATGAATCATGGGTGTGTCAGGATGGGATGTGTTCCAGCTGGCTTACTTTGCCTTAGGACTCTTGGGAATAACTGGGTGTTGTTGGTGCTGGGGTGCATGGGGGGGTCTTCCTGGGGAGTCTTATCAACTGAAAGCAAGACAGACTCTGGGTGGAATGCAGCCCTCTCTGAGGTCTCTGGCGTCTGGGATGTCCCAGGTATTAGGCACTCACACACCATGCTGGGCTTCCCAGTACCAGTCGTGTATGCACTATGGGAGCTCTGCGGCCTGGCCTTCTGATGAGGCCAGGGATGGAATGAGCAGGATCCAGGAAACAGCCCAAGGTAACTGGTGCTTGGTGACCATTTGGGATGGGCTAGACACTGAACACACAGTTCCCTCATAGGCAGGCAGAATGTTGTCTTGCACACCTACCAGAAATGCCTTCAGCCCATGTCTTTTCTATTGCAGACTTTAAAAAACTCAAAGAGCCTTTGCTCCCTGGACTATGAAGATGATGAGGACGACACCCAGGCGAAGACTGTTGTGTCCTCCCCATGTAACTCGCAGGGTCTCGTGAGCATCATCACACCTGGCTCTAGCCCAAGGATTCCCAGGCCTGGCCCTACCAGTCCCAGTGCCTGGGCCTCAGGAGAGCCAGAGGCCAGCGTAGGAGAGGCTGGGAGCAGCGGGGAACCCAGTGACTGGGACAGTGCAGGAGAGGAGGGTGTCTTCCCACTGGACCACGATGACCTGGACCTGGAGCAGATCGAGAACAACTGACTTTTGGCTGAGCAGTGGTTACTGTCTGTCACCTTGGTGCCTGACCAGTGGAAGTAACTTGTGTGATATTTTGAAAATTGAGGCGTAATTTTGATTCAGTTTTTCCTAAAGAAATATTTTGCATTTTTATGGCTTCTACAGTTTGGGAGAGCTTCTCTATTTTGAAATGGGTTTTCAGAGGGCATTCTATTAAACGTGGTTCTGTCTAGATTCTGGCCAGTTCTGTTCTTTTTGTCAGAAGCCTACTGTGAAAAGAGAGTGAATTGCTTGGGTTAATGTTTGCAGGTGGAGGGATCATGGCCTTGGGTGCTTGGGGTGCCCTGCATCCTTGGCCCTTGGTGTCTGTGGTTAACCAACTGCTGGCTTGGACCACCTGACTTCCTAGAGATGGTGAGGTGCTGGCTGGGCTGATCTGTGGGAGCCGACTGCTGCATCCTGAGTCTGCTTTTCTATAGTCCAGGGGCTTTGAGCTTCAGGGATGTGGAGTGGCATACCAGTCTCCAAATTCAGTGATTTTAATCCCTAAAATGTCCATTGAGGGAGCACCATTATGAGGAAGGGCTTTTTTTTTTTTTTGGTTTTTCAAGACAGGGTTTCTCTGTGGCTTTGGAGGCTTTCCTGGAACTAGCTCTTGTAGACCAGGCTGGCCTCGAACTCACAGAGATCCGCCTGCCTCTGCCTCCCAAGTGCTGGGATTAAAGGCCTGCGCCACCAACGCCCGGCTGAGGAAGGGCTTTTTGACAATACAAGAAATGATCATTTATGGAGAAAATATCTTTTTTTTTTCTTTCAAGGAAATTTGTGAAAGGTAATTGACTCAGTCCTGCTTCCCTGTCAGATGATCTAGGGCATACATCAAGTTGGTGGGGGTTGGCTTTCAGGGTCTCTTATCCTTTTCTCTGTGACTGGGAACCAATAGTGTGCCAGCAGCCTCCCCCAGTAGCTGACAATGGCACCCATGTAAGTCTGTGTTCAATGGTACTTAACTGACACATCTACTTGCACAGCTGTGACATGGCCTTAAAGATTTCCTTTCCATGATGTCTCAGAGCTTTTTGTTGTTGGAACCTGGCCTGCATCTGTAGAGCCCTGTGAGGCAGGCAGTAGTGGCCCAGCTAGTTCATATGGCCGCACCAAAGCTTCTAGTGTTTGGTTCTAGGATGGCCTGGTCTGGTTAGTGGCCCCCATCACAGTGTGTATGTTACTCAGAGGTCTCACTCAGACCAGGATTGTGAAATGTGATTTCATAATTCTGCAACCAGCTGGGCAGGACTGATGAGTGTCATCACTACCAGGTACTCAGACCCTGCAAGGCTTATGGCTTAGCACTGAGAACTGCCCCTCTCTGGATTCTGTCCCAGCTCTTATTATGAGTGTCCTTACACCCTTTCTGTGGACCACTCGGACCCTGTGCCAGCTCACCCATTGCTTGGCCTGTCTCCCAGAGGACATTACTCTAAGGCTGCTCAGTATCCCCCATGCCAGCAAGGGCCTCTTAGCCACCTGGCCTGCTGGGGATGTTCTTATAGGTTTGATTTATGCTCCATCTGCATGCCTGAATGGCTACCTGTTTGTCATAAGCCCTGTGTCTTTTCTTTAGTTCATAGAGAAGTCAGACCTTACAGAGGCTACTGGGCCTGCCTACCATTCCTTCTGTTCCCAAAGCCCTCTGGTGCCTCCTCCTATCTCCCCTCAGTTGCCTGTTTCCTGCTCTGGGCTTCTGAGCCTCACCCTAACTTCTCAGCCTGGGTGGGGCTCTCTGGATTTTCATTGGTGCCCTGTTTCCTGCCTCTCTACTGCAGCTAACTGTTACTGGCTACAACCCAGCCAGACTCCCTCCTGCATCCTCCCCTGTGCCAGCCAGGATCCATGTGGGAATACAACCCGGCCTATACCCTCCAGACCCCTCAGTGAGGTTGATTTTCCACCATCCTCAAAGCTGTCGCTTGGTAACTGTCCTGATGTTCAAGGACATTGAGGGGATCACGTGACTTCCATCTCTAGAACTTTCCATGCTGTCTTTATTTTTAAAACCTATCATTTACTTATTTAATATATATGTGTGTTTTGCCTACATGTGTATTGTGGTGGTCAGAAGACGATCTCCTGGGACTGGAGTTACAGAGGGTTGTGAGCCACCATGTGGGTGCTGGGAACTGAATTCAAGTCCTACTGCAAGAGCAGCAAATGCTCTTAACTTCTGAGCCATCTCTCCAGCCCCAGAACTTTCCATATCTTGAAGCTGAAGCCCTTTCCCCATTTATCACCCTGCCCTCCGCTAGTCCACCTCTGTCCCTGAGCAATGGCATTGTGTGGGTCTTGTCTGATTAATATGATGTCTCAGAGGCACCTGTATGTTGGAGTCTGTTAGATTTAACTGTTTCAGGGACAGATTAGATGGGTGGCCTGAGGTCTGCTTATTCTTGAATCTATCGAGATAGATGTTGGCTCTTATTGCTGTGAGGGGCAGAGACATGCCCTGGCAGCTGCTCTGTGCAGTCTGCTGTGGACCCTGATGACACGCTCAGGCTCTCAGGCAGCTTCCCTTGCTTGTCTGACTCCTGCTTCTTGAGTGCCGTCTTCATAGGAGGTATCCTCTCCTGGGCCCAGACACTCCTGCCTGTCCCTGTGGGCTCCGATGGAACAGGTCCTGCCAGTGTAGATATGGCAGTGGATTCTGAATACAATGTGGCCTTGTGGCCTGATACCTCACCCAGGCCTGGCAGGCACAGGCACCTCTGCAGGCTTACCAGAAACGCTGGTTTTAGGCATCTGCCATGTGCCCTGCACTATTCCGTGGCTGGTCCCTGGGTGCGGGGTGCGGGAAAACATCTGAGGCGGCATGCTCTGCTCAGGCCCTGGAGCAGTGATAGACTTGGGGTGCTGGATGCAGCAAGGGGACCTGGGCTTCAAAGGAGAGACCGGGTTGGGGACACAATAGTATGGTAAACACGAGCTCAAATACATAAGTGAAAACAGACTAAAATCTCCTGTGAATAGGAAGAAACCATAAATGTAGCTATTCTCAGAAGCTGCACGCCATGACCAAACTGGACAGATTAAAGGAAAAAGTTACCAATTGCCTGTCCCAGTGGGGATTCTGGTAAGCAGTAAGGACAGACTGGATCATATGTGTCTCCCTGTGATGCTCCTAACAATGGGAAGTCACAGCCTTTCAGGCACAGGGAATCAGTTAAAGTGTGACTGTGAATGGATCACGAGGATATATCAATACATGTCAAGAAGTTGATATTTATCCATAACTATCTGACCATAACTCCCTAACAACAAAGAAAACTTCACTGCAAAAAAGTCATGAGGACTGGAGAGATGGCTTAGCTATGAAGACCTTGCTGCTCTTCCAGAGGACCCAAGTTCAACACCAGCACCCTATCAGGTGGCTACCAACTGCCTAGTATCCACCACAAGGCTTAGCAGCAGAACACTTTCCTGGCATGCCTGAGGCTCTGAATTCATCCATAGCATCAAAACCCAAATAAGACAAATTCCCAAAATTAAAAAATAATCCCCATCCCCTACCAAAACACCCAGAAAATCTTTATGACTAGGTGTTGGAGGAGAAGCTGCACACCAGAACTCATCAGATGTATATGAAGTTGTATTTAGAAAAGAATTTATAATCTTAGGTGATCATACTAGAAAAAACAACAAACAAAAAAAACTGAGTAGAGCATGAATGACCTAAGTTTCCAGTTTAAGAAATGAAGACAGAACAGCAAGTTCTTTTCTCTCTCTTTTTTTTTTTTTGTTTGTTTTTTTTTTTTCGAGACAGGGTTTCTCTGTATTGTTTTGGAGGCTGTCCTGGAACTCGCTCTTGTAGACCAGTCTGACCTCAAACTCATAGAGATCCGCCTGCCTCTGCCCAGCAAGTTCTTTTCAAGCATCAGATGTATTCTGGGTTTTACCAGTCATAGGTGACCTCCTGAATGTTCTTCCTCATTCTAAACCCTTCAAAAATGTGAAAACCTTGAAGCTTAGTCATTCACGCTTGTAATCCTAGCTCCAAAGGACCCAGTGCCTCGTCTGGCCTGTGTATTGCACAGACGTGTGCAGGCAAAATACTTATACACACAAAATTGAAATAACCTTTAAGGGGAGAGAAGAAATAATAAAAGAGTAGAAACACAAGAAACTGACCTAGCAGCAGTCAAACTGACCTGCAGCTTATGCTTAGGGGATGAACAAGACTGTCTTGGTTTCATTTCTGTGGCTGTGATAAATACCGTGAAGAAAAAGTAACTCAGAGGAAAAAGGGTTTATTTTAGCTCACAGTTTCAGGTGATAGTCTGTTATAGCAGGGAAGTCATCAGAAGCAGCTAGTCACATTACCTCCACATCAGGAGCAGAGAAATGATAATATGTGCATAGCTACTGCTCAGCTCATTTTGCTCTTATACAACTCAGGACCCAAAGCCAGGGTGTGATACCACCTACAATGACTGGGTCTTCCTAAGTCAATTAAAATCAAAACAGACCCCCACCCCCCAGGCCAACCTGTTCTAAATCCTCCTTGAGACCATCTTCCCAGGTGATTTTAGCTTGCATCAAATTGACACTAAAACTTACCATCACATTGACCAAGGTTTCAAAAACAATAAACACTTGTAGGGATGGAAGGAGGGACAGTGGCAGAAAGGTAGATCACAAGGAGAGGATGTCACGGGCAGCGCAGAGGAGATGGACAAATCTTTGAGAAATACTGTCAGAAACCAACTCCAGAAGAAAGAACCCACAGATAGTCCTGTAGCCATAAGCTCATCTGAATGGTAGTTAGAACGCTTATCACAAAGAGCATTTGACCTGAGCCGGATATGGTAGTGTCGATATCAGCACTCATGCCCAGGCAGGAGGATCATGAGTTCCAGGCTAGTCTTGGCTACAGAGTAAGACCTTGCTTGTTCATTTGTTTTTGGAGAAAAAAAAAATGCAGTGGGCTGGAGAGAAGGCTCTGCAGTTAAGAGCACTTGCTCTTGCGAGGACACAGGTTTGATTCCTAGCACCCCATGGTGGCTCACACCATCTGTAACCTTAGTTCCAGGGGCTTACGGCAGGCACTTGGATACACATGCACACAAGTAAAACATTCACACATATAAGGTAAAGAAATCAAAATATAAGCATGGCTGTAGATGTATGTTCGTTGTTTGTTTCTTATGTTTTTTGGGGGAGCGTTGGTTTTTTTTTGTT